TACCTCCTTGGTTCATGCGGCGGCTCCCCATTTTCTGTGGCCGTTTGCAGTCCGATACGTTGCGCATCAGCTCAACCTCTGGCCCCGTGTCTCCTTGCCGGAGACCTCGCCCACACTGCGTTGGACGGGGGAGGTCGGCAATGCGTCGCGCTTCCGGGTGTGGGGTTCTCGTGCCCTTGTCCGCGATACTTCCGCGGACAAGCTCTCCTCCCGCACACTTCCCTGTGTCTTCCTTGGCTTTGTCCCTGACGCGCCAGGCTGGCAGTTTTACCACCCCACCTCGCGCCGGGTCTTCGCCTCTTAGGACGTCACCTTTGACGAGTCGGTTCCTTTTTACCGTCTCTTCCCCTACCGCACTGCCCCCCTCCCCCCCCCGCCGCATTTCCTTGCTCCAGGTCCCCCTCCGGTCGACCCCCTTCCCCCTCAGGGTCCTGCTCCTTCAGGTGTCTCTCAGGTAGACCCTCCTCCCGTCGCTGAGCCTGTCGAGGTCACAGGTGACTCAGGTGCTGCTGCGAGTGGTGCTGCTAGGGTTGCTGAGCCTGGGGGTGCTGTGCCTGGGGGTGCTGAGCCTGGGGGTGCAGAGCCTGGGGGTGCTGAGCTTGAGGGTGCGGAGCCTGGGGGTGCTGGGACCGTGGGTGCGGGGCCTGGGGGTGCTTTGCCTCGAGTTGCTGCGTCTGGGGGTGCTCAGGGTGTTGAGTCGCCTCTCCGGGAGCCTCTCACACAGCGGCAGCTCCGTGAGTGGTACGTCCGGCGCTTTCGCCTTCCGCGTGGTGCAGCTGGAGCTGGAGGCGCTGAGACTGGGGACACTGGTGCTGGAGGTTCTGGCGGTGCTGCAGCTGCTGGTTTTGGGGGTGCTAGTCCTGGAGGTACTGCGGCTGCCGGAGCTGGTTGTTCTGGAGGTCCTGAGCCTGGTGCCACTGGAGCTGGAGACACTGGAGCTGGAGGTACTGGAGGAGCTGGAGCTGCTCGGTGTTGCGGTGCTCCGTCTGAGGGAGCTGAGCCTGTGCTTGAGGGGTCTGGGTGTGCTGCGTCTGGGGGTGCGTCGCCAGTGGAGGCTGCGCCCTGGACTGGCCGCCTTCGTTCGCGTGTTCCTCTCACCTCCCAGCAGCTGCACGACTGGTTCGGTCGCCGTCAGCGTCGCCCTCCTGGAGCTCCGGGCTCTACTGCTGGTGGTGCCTCTACTGCCGCCCCTGGAGCTGAGAGTGGTGCTGGTTCGTTGTCTCCTGGAGGTACTCCCGTCGCTGGTCCCGGAGGTGCTCGTACCGCTGGTACTCGAGCTGCTGGGGCTGGTGGTGCTGTGTCTGAGGGTGCTACCGCTGGGGACGCTGCGACTGGAGACCCTGGGACTGGAGGTGCTGGTTCTGGGGGTGCTGCTGCTAGTGGGGACAGTCCTGGAGGAGCTGACACTGGGGGTGGTGGTGTCGCTGGAGGTGCTGGAGCTGCTGGTGCTGGCGGTACTGCACAGTCGCGCCTGTTCTTCGCTCCGCCGTCGCCGTCGTCTCTGCCGCCGTCTGACTCTGTCCTTCGCCAGGTTCTTAGTCTTCCGTCTTCTACTGGTCTTCCGTTACTGCCTGGCTCGCCCTTGCCTGCTCCTTCTCCTTACACTGAGCAGTCAGGGGGTCTTACTGAGCGTCGTGAGCCTGCGTCGCGTCCTGTCTCGCCTGTTCGTTCTGGTCGTTCCGCTCGCCGCGTCTCGCACCAGCGTTCGCCGCCTGTTGCTGGTTCTCGCCTTGTCGTCCGTCGTCCCTCCTCTGTACCACAGTCGGTTCCTCTGCCGTCTCCTCCTGCGTCTTCTTTGCCTGACGTTCCGGACCCTGAGTCTGACCAGTTTCGTGCTGAGCACCCTACCGTCACGCGTCTGTTAGCCACTGCTGTCACTGACCCGTCTTTTGAGTCGGCTGCTGCGTCTGCCCTGGTCGCTGAGCTTGTTGACTTTGCTGCTGTCTGTCGTCTAGACTACACTGCCAGTCTTGTTGCTGAGTCTGAGTCTGTCTGTCCTCCGTTCGTCGGGGGTGAGTGTGCTCTTGGCACGGACGTTCTTGAGGACAGGCAGGAGGACTTTGACTCTCTTGCGGCTGCTGTACCTCATCTCATGGCCTGGCTGCTTGCCCCTGAGGGAGACCCGGATGCACTAGACATCCCCACCCCGCGCTCTTATGCTGAGGCGATCGCGGGTGACTACTCCTCTCAGTGGCAGACAGCCATGGACGCCGAGATGGCATCCTGGAAGTCCACGGGCACCTACGTCGACGAGGTTTCCCCTCCTGGGGCGAACATCGTCGATGGCATGTGGATTTTCAGGGTGAAGCGGCCGCCGGGTTCTCCGCCTGTCTTCAAGGCTCGTTACGTTGCTAGAGGTTTCAGTCAGCGACAGGGAGTTGACTTCTTTCAGACCTTCTCCTCCACCCCGAAGATGACCACTCTTCGGGTGTTGCTGCACGTTGCTGCTCAGCGTGACTACGAGCTGCACTCTCTTGACTTCAGCACAGCTTTCTTGCAGGGCAGCCTCCACGAGGAGATCTGGCTGCGCCGCCCTCCTGGCTTCACTGGGTCGTTCCCTCCTGGTACCCAGTGGAGCCTCCGCCGGCCAGTCTACGGTCTCCGCCAGGCGCCACGTGAGTGGCACGACACACTGAGGACTACACTTGCGGCCCTTGGGTTCGCGCCGTCTACTGCTGACCCGTCGCTGTTTCTGCGCACAGACACGTCGCTGCCGCCGTTCTACATTCTCGTGTACGTCGACGACTTGGTCTTTGCTACTGCTGACACTGAGGCACTCGCTCGTGTGAAGTCGGAGCTGCAGAAGAGACACACCTGCACTGACCTGGGTGAGCTGCGCAGCTACCTTGGCTTGCAGATCACCCGGGACAGAGCACGCCGCACCATTACCCTGACTCAGTCACACATGGTGCAGCAGGTCCTTCAGCGCTTCGGCTTCCAGTTCTCCTCACCACAGGCCACACCTCTGGCTACCAGCCACTCACTCTCAGCTCCACCTTCGGACGAGTCCGTAGAGTCGAGTGGCCCGTACCCAGAGCTTGTAGGCTGCCTCATGTACCTGATGACTTGCACGCGACCTGACCTCGCGTACCCTCTTAGCATCCTTGCTCGTTACGTTGCGCCTGGGAGACACAGGCGAGAGCACTGGGAGGCTGCTAAGAGGGTGCTGCGTTACTTGTGCAGTACATCAGGCATGGGGCTGGTGCTTGGAGGACGCGACAGAGTTGTCCTCACTGGTCACTCGGACGCTTCTTGGGTGGACGACTTGGCTACGCAGCGGTCGTCGCAGGGTTACACCTTCAGCCTTGGTTCTGGTTCTGTCTCGTGGCGGTCCACCCGCTCTTCTTCTGTTCTCAGCTCTAGTTGTGAGGCTGAGATCTACGCCACGGCCATGGCTGCACAGGAGTTACGCTGGCTCACCTACCTGCTGACTGACTTGGGAGAGCGGCCTAGTTCTCCTCCAGTTCTGTACGGCGACAACAAGGCGGCCCTTGCCTTGTGTCAGGAGCACAGACTGGAGCACAGAACGAAGCACATTGCTCTTCGCTACTTTCTTGCTCGAGAGCTGCAGCAGCGTGGTCAGCTTCGTCTTGTGTACGTGGACTCGAAGGCCAACACTGCTGATGTCTTCACCAAGGCGCTTCCGCCTAGTGATCATCAGCGGCACTGTACTGCGTTAGGCCTTGTGTCCACATTACCTCATTTGCTTACTGCTTGACTTTCTTTGTACTGTGATTTATATATATCGCTGCTTGCTTGCTAGGTTTTGATCACTGTGTTGCTTGTCTTGTTCTATCTATATAGCTCTGCATGTGAACTGGCCTTGTGGCCTTTGCTTGTGTTCAGAGTGTGGTGACGTTGTGATCCACCCTGGGCTTGCTTTGCTTTGCTGGACTGGTCTTGTGACCCCTTGTTTTCCCCCACTTTGCCTATGGGGGTGTGTTAAATTATAATGTGTTGGTAGGCTGTAGTGGGGTAGACAATATAGGGTACAACCCCATTAGGGTTAGGTACTTGTACTCTTGTTCTCCTTTCAATGCATTCATTCTTGCCTAGAACCTTGACACGTAGCAACCGGCTGAAGCACTACCGGTATGGATCGTGAGGTCGATGTGGGCGCAATAGTGACCGTATAGCTCGCGACGTCGAAGGGGGCGCTAAAGAGACTGGCCTGGCTTGTGACGTCGAAGAGGGCGGTGTTGAGATAGACTCTATGTCGACATGTAGCCGTCCTACGTCTGCCTGCCTTGGAGGCGATGTCCTCAACGGGTTGCTATCGATAACTGCGTAACCCTAAGCTATCATTTCTCCCTAGCGTTGGACTACTAGAAAAGACGGTGCACGGGGCTACTACTTCAGGTTTTGGCTTATAACTGTTTCGGCCGAGGTTCCTCCACGTGCAGATGCCCTGAATACCGTGACTTTTGCCGTGGCTGACAACTTTTGACGTGATCGTTTGATTGCAAGTGACGTAACCCGTCGCCCATCCGACAGCGACAGTTCGCTGGATCGACGATGTGGCCGGTCGACCGCAATTGGCGGTCAGCTGGGAATTTCTGGGGGGCCGGAGGGATTCCGCGGGTTTTTCGTTTTGCCTCAAATGTCATTTGTGCCAGGGCGGGCGGGGCGGCATGTGATAACATCACCCGTCTATCAGAATACTAGCGTGAGAATGATGCATTGAATGAAACAGTTGGGTACAAGTAGCAAACCCTAGTTGGGGTTGTACCCCATATTGGCTACCCCACTACAGCCTACCAACATATAACAGTTTAACACACCCCCATAGGCAAAGTGGGGGAGAACAAAGGGTCACAAGACCAGTCCAGCAAAGCAACGCAAGCCCAGGGTGGATCACAACGTCACCACACTCCGAGCACAAGCAAAGGCCACAAGGCCAGTTCACATGCAGTGCTAGATATAGTACAAGACAAGCAACACAGTGATCAAAACCTAGCAAGTAAGCAGCAAGAGATATATAAAGTACAGTACAAAGAAAGTCAAGCAGTAAGCAAATGAGGGAATGTGGATACAAGGCCTAAAGAAGTACAGTGCCGCTGATGATCACTAGGCGGGAGCGCCTTGGTGAAGATATCAGCAGTGTTGGCCTTCGAGTCCACGTACACAAGCCGAAGCTGACCTCGCTGCTGCAGCTCTCGAGCAAGAAAGTAGCGAAGAGCAATGTGCTTCGTCCTGTGCTCCAGTCTGTGCTCCTGACACAAGGCAAGGGCCGCCTTGTTGTCGCCGTACAGAACTGGAGGAGAACTAGGCCGCTCTCCCAAGTCAGTCAGCAGGTAGGTGAGCCAGCGTAACTCCTGTGCAGCCATGGCCGTGGCGTAGATCTCAGCCTCACAACTAGAGCTGAGAACAGAAGAAGAGCGGGTGGACCGCCACGAGACAGAACCAGAACCAAGGCTGAAGGTGTAACCCTGCGACGACCGCTGCGTAGCCAAGTCGTCCACCCAAGAAGCGTCCGAGTGACCAGTGAGGACAACTCTGTCGCGTCCTCCAAGCACCAGCCCCATGCCTGATGTACTGCACAAGTAACGCAGCACCCTCTTAGCAGCCTCCCAGTGCTCTCGCCTGTGTCTCCCAGGCGCAACGTAACGAGCAAGGATGCTAAGAGGGTACGCGAGGTCAGGTCGCGTGCAAGTCATCAGGTACATGAGGCAGCCTACAAGCTCTGGGTACGGGCCACTCGGCTCTACGGACTCGTCCGAAGGTGGAGCTGAGAGTGAGTGGCTGGTAGCCAGAGGTGTGGCCTGTGGTGAGGAGAACTGGAAGCCGAAGCGCTGAAGGACCTGCTGCACCATGTGTGACTGAGTCAGGGTAATGGTGCGGCGTGCTCTGTCCCGGATGATCTGCAAGCCAAGGTAGCTACGCAGCTCACCCAGATCTGTGCACGTGTGTCTCTTCTGCAGCTCCGACTTCACACGAGCGAGTGCCTCAGTGTCAGCAGTAGCAAAGACCAAGTCGTCGACGTACACGAGAATGTAGAACGGCGGCAGCGACGTGTCTGTGCGCAGAAACAGCGACGGGTCAGCAGTAGACGGCGCGAACCCAAGGGCCGCAAGTGTAGTCCTCAGTGTGTCGTGCCACTCACGTGGCGCCTGGCGGAGACTGTAGACTGGCCGGCGGAGGCTCCACTGGGTACCAGGAGGAAACGACCCAGTAAAGCCAGGTGGGCGGCGCAGCCAGATCTCCTCGTGCAGGCTGCCCTGCAGGAAAGCTGTGCTGAAGTCAAGAGAGTGAAGCTCGTAGTCACGCTGAGCAGCAACGTGCAGCAGAACCCGAAGAGTGGTCATCTTCGGGGTGGGGGAGAAGGTCTGGAAGAAGTCAACCCCCTGACGCTGACTGAAGCCTCTAGCAACGTAACGAGCCTTGAAGACAGGTGGAGAACCTGGCGGCCGCTTCACCCTGAAAATCCACATGCCATCGACGATGTTCGCCCCAGGAGGGGGAACCTCGTCGACGTAGGTGCCTGTGGACTTCCAGGATGCCATCTCTGCGTCCATGGCTGTCTGCCACTGAGAGGAGTAGGGACCCGAGATCGCCTCTGCGTAAGAGCGCGGAGTGGGGATGTCTAGTGCATCCGGGTCTCCCTCAGGGGCAAGCAACCAGGCCACGAGATGAGGTACAGCAGCCGCAAGAGAGTCAAAGTCCTCCTGCCTGTCCTCAAGGACGTCCGTGCCAAGAGCACACTCACCCCCGACGGACGGAGGACAGACAGACTCAGACTCAGCAACAAGACTGGCGGCGTAGTCTAGGCGACAGGCAGCAGCAAAGTCGACAAGCTCAGCGACCAGGGCAGACGCAGCAGAGGACTCAAACGACGGGTCAGTGACAACAGTGGCGAGAAGACGCGTAACAGTAGGGTGGGCAGCACGAACACTGTCAGACTCAGGGTCGGGAACGTCAGGAAGAGAAGACGCAGGAGGAGACGGTAGGGGGACACGCTGTGGACCAGTGGAAGGACGAAGGGCCATAATATGCGTGCCAGGAACAGGAGGAGGACGCGGACGCGCGACACGACGACCAGTGGGACCAGTGCGCGCAGTGCGAGCAGTGCGAGCAGCACGAACAGGCGAGGCAGGACGAGACACAGGCTCACGACGCTCCGTAAGCGAGTCCGGCTGTGCAGTGTAAGGCACAGGAGCAGGGAGGGGGGAGCCAGGCTGGAGGGGAAGGCCAGTGGAAGACGGGAGGGAAAGAACCTGGCGAAGCACCGTGTCAGGCGGCGGCAAAGCCGACGGCGACGGAGGAGCGAAGAACAGGCGCGACGGCGGAGCTCCGCCAGCACCTCCAGCACCCGCAGCACCAGAAGCACCAGGACCAGCACCCTCCGCCGCAGCACCCCCAGAGTCGGCGACGTCAGCACCAGAGGCCCCAGCAGCGTCAGACCTCCCCTCGCCAGCACCTCCAGAACCAGCAGGACCACCGTGTCCAGAACCGTCAGCTCCAGTGTCGTCAGCTCCAGCAGCTCCAGTACCGCCAGGAAGAGCACCCCCAGAGCCGGCAGCTCCAACTCCGCTGGGAACGCCAGCTCCAGAGTCCCCAGCTCCAGCAGCTCCAGTCTCAGTGCTCCCAGAACAACCAGTCCCGGCAGCTCCAGTACCTCCAGTACGAGCACCTCCAGGACGAGCAGCTCCAGAACCTCCAACTCCAGCAGGGCCACGAGGACGGCGAAAGCGCCGGACGTACCAGTCACGAAGCTGCTGTGGTGTGAGAGACTGCTCAGCACCCCGAACCGGAGCACCCCCAGACGCAGCAACCCCAGGCTCCGTAGGCTCAGTCGCAGCACCCCCAGGCTCAGTACCCCCAGACTCCGTACACGCAGGCTCAGCACCCCCAGTCGCAGCACCCCCAGGCTCAGCACCCCCAGGCGCCGAACTCTCAGGCACAGTACCCTCAGCTCCAGCACCCTCAGTCCCAGCACCCGCAGCCTTAGCACCCCCAGGCTCAGCACCCGCAGGCTCAGCACCCCCAGGCTCAGCACTCCCAGCAGCACCACCTGCAGCAGCACCTGAGTCACCTGTGACCTCGACAGGCTCAGCGACGGGAGGAGGGTCTACCTGAGAGACACCTGAGGGAGCAGGACCCTGAGGGGGAAGGGGGTCTACCGGAGGGGGACCAGGAGCGAGGAAAAGCGGTGGGGGAGGGAGGGGGGCAGTGCGGTAGGGGAAGAGACTGTAAAAAGGGACTGACTCGTCAAAGGTGACGTCCTGAGAGGCGAAGACCCGGCGCGAGGTGGGGTGGTAAAACTGCCAGCCAGGCGCGTAAGGGACAAAGCCAAGGAAGACACAGGGAAGCGTGCGGGAGGAGAGCTTGTCCGCGGACGTATCGCGGACAAGGGCACGAGCACCCCACACCCGGAAGCGCGACGCATCGCCAACCTCCCCCGTCCAACGCAGTGTGGGCGAGGTCTCCGGCAAGGAGACACGGGGCCAGAGGTTGAGCTGATGCGCGGCGTACCGGACAGCAAACGGCCACAGAAAATGGGGAGCCGCCGCATGGACCAAGGAGGTACGAGCGACCTCCATGACCAGGCCAATGCGGCGCTCAGCAACCCCATTCTGGTTGCTGACAGAAGTGTGAAAGTCTGCTCGATGCCCTCCGCCTGACAGAAGGTCCTCAAGAGGTCGGAGGAGAACTCACCACCTCTGTCAGAGTGCAGACGCAGGACAGGAAGATCTGTCCGGAAACGGCGGCGGAGCTGGAGACGAACTGTGCGGATCCAAGGGATCAAAACACCAGGGACGTCACCCTTGGAGCGCAAGGGGAAGACCGTGGTGTAACGCGAGTAGTCGTCGACAACCAGCAAAAAGTACCGCTCACCGCCCTGGCCACGAACGCGGGCTGGGCCCCACACGTCCAGGTGGAGGGTCTGCAGAGGAGCCTCTGTCGGGGGGAACGAGGAGGAGTGAGGAGCGGCGCGCTGCCGCCCCCCGATGCAAGGAAGGCAAGGCGGCGCAGGCGAGGCAGGGAGGGGAGGGAGGGACCTGGGAAGACCAGACACAAGGTGGCGACGGTGCATGCCACGGAGGCGTGGCAAGGAGGGGTGGCCCAGGCGGTGGTGCCAGAGAAGAGTCTGGTGCGACAGGGAACGACACTCACAGGCGTGGGCTACCAGACCTGACGCGGACACCTGACCGACAGCAGCGACCTGAGGAGACGCAGTGGACAGTGTGTAGAGACTCGACCCCGGCTGACGGGTAAACGTAGCCAGGTGACGGCCAGTCCTGGAGCACGTGAGGATCGCCACACGCTGTCCTCCAGGAGTAAAGGTGTCAACCCACTGATCCTGGATGACAGCGTTGCTCACCAGGTTCGTCGAGAACGAGGGGAGGTGGAAACCCGACAACGAGCCAGACGGAACCGCCGGACAAGGGAGCACAGTGGTGGACTGTGCAAGGACTGGGCCCCCTGAGGGGTCAGCCAAGGAGACTGGGACCGGTGCAGGAAGCGGTGTGAGCTCAGTACTGTCACGAAAGAAATAGCGGGAAGCACCTGAGTCAAGGGTGCTGTACCTAAGAGAGCAGTCTCTGTGGGTGCTGTACCTGAGAGAGCAGACTCACAAGCAGTAGGGACAGTACTGGAGGGAGCAGCCACAGAGGGCACCAGACCAGAGAGAGCAGACTCACTAGTACCCAGGGCAGCGGGCTCTATACCTGGGTCAGGCGGCACACACAAGTAACAGTCTCCCTCGGCACTAACAGTCAATGCATACATGGCAGCAATAATAGCATCATAGTCAAGAGCAAAGATATCAACACCAGCCCTCATCAGCTCAGCCCAGCGGGGGCGCTCAACATCCTCGCCCATCTCCTCACGCCAAGCGTCGTCAAGGCGGGAGAAGCAGCGGTACGGGGTGTGGAACCTCCCACACGTCTGTCCCTTGCGGTCACCTGTGCGAATGACATAGGAACAGCGGCCACTGCCCCCCGACGTCCCACGCTGAGCAAGCCACTCACGAAGCTGCTGGGTCGTCTGGGGACGCTGCTGCTGGTGGGAGCTCTGGCCAGAGCCAGTGCCTCCACTCCGACCTCCGCCGCCACCACTACCTCCGCTCCGACCGCCACCGCCACCGCCGCCACCGCCACCGCCGCCGCCGCCGCCACCGCCGCCACCGCCGCCGCCGCCACCACCGCCACCGCTCCCTCCGCCGCCCCCGCCTCCGCTGCCGACCCCACTCCCACCAGCACTCCCGCCACCGCTCCCTCCAGCACCGCCTCCCCCCCCACCTCCCCCACCTCCTCCCCCCCCAGCGCCACCCCCGCCACCCTTGCCCCCCTTGCCCTTGCCGGTGCGGCGCCTCCCACCAGGAGCAGAAGCAGCGCCAGCAGACTCAGCACCAAGGAAGTCAACAGCAGCAGCAGTAGCGTAGGAGGGAGCGAGGGGAGAGGGAGAACACCCCTCAAAGATGGGGGTGCGAGGAGCGCCACGAGCAGCACCTACAGCTACAATGCTCTTCTCGGCTGCTAGCAGCTTCTCCTCTAGGAGGGGGACAGTGAGCTCAGTGGGACAGCGAGCAAGGAAATAGTCGCGCACTGAGCTGAGGGTGTCAGGGAGATGGGTGACTATGAAGTGGAGTGTCCAGTACAGTGGAGGGGGGTTCTTAGCGCAGAACTCGGTGGGAAGGGCGGCACGCAGGCGAGCGTCACTAGTGCGAAGGTGGGTGATAAGATCGGCGACTGTAGCAAAGGTGGACAGCTCAGGGAACAGGTAAGGCAGCATAAGGCGGCTAAGCTCGGCTGTGGCAGGTGAGGAATAGCGGGCAACGACAGCGTCGTACAGGGCCTTAGCGGTTTTGCAGTCGCCAAAATGCTCGAGCTCAGCTAACGGCAGGTGACTGCGAATGGCTAGGCGAGCAGCTGCGTCACGAGTCTGCCAGTGGGAACGAACACTAAGCTCTGCTGTGGCAGGAGGGGCAGGCGCAGCACCAGACGCGTAATCATAGAGCGACACATGCTCCTTGCTATCGCTCAGGAGGAACAGCTGCAGGTCATCTAGCCAAGTGGTGAACTGCACAGGGCGGCCCTCAGCATCGAACGAAAGCACGCGGATGGAAGCCATAGCGACAGTACGGCAGAGCAACGCAAGCTACCACAGCAGGGGCGGGCAATTGCGCACGGGCAGGGAGCAGCAGGCGGCGCTGCAAGCGGGCAGCGCGGCGGACGGGCGGTTCTGCGAGCGGGCAGCGCGGCAGGCAGGCGGCGCTGCAGGCGGGCAGCGCGACAGGCGGGCGACTCCGCAAGCGGGCAGCGCGGCGGGCGGGCGGGCAGCGCGACGGACGGCGCGGGGCACAGCGGGCGGCGCGCGGGGCTGCAAGGCAGCTCGACGGGCTGCGCGGGGCAGAGCGGGCGGCGCGCGGGGCTGCAGAGCCGAGCGACGAGCAGCGCGGGGCAGGGCGGGCGGGTCGCGGGGCTGCGCAGCAGATCGACGGGCGGCTCGGGGCACAGCGGGCGGTGCGCGGGGCTGCGAGGCAGCGCGGGGCAGAGCGGGCGGCGCGACGGGCAAAGCAGGGGAGGCGCGCGGGGCTCTGGGCTGGCAGGACGCCGGTCGGCAGGGCGCACGAGGGCGCTACAAAGGGCGCTACGAGGGCGCTAGGGCGCAACGAGGGCGCTACGAGGGTAGGGCGCGGGGGTAACGCGGTAACCGCAGCGTGCGGTGGTGGGCCCTAAAAAAAACGATCGGATGGTCCTAGGGACCACCTGCTCTGAATACCATATCAGAATACTAGCGTGAGAATGATGCATTGAATGAAACAGTTGGGTACAAGTAGCAAACCCTAGTTGGGGTTGTACCCCATATTGGCTACCCCACTACAGCCTACCAACATATAACAGTGTAACACCGTCCCTATATAATTGGCTAGCATTCGCCCTCACACCACATTCGCCCTCGGTCACAGCAGGGATTTGCGCTGTCTTGACAGGGATTCGCCCTATCAGGGAAGCGTTTCGCCCTGTCAGGGAAGAGATTCGCCCTATCAGGGCAAAGATTCGCCTTGTCACAGTCTGAACAAGATAGTATATGTTTCAGTTTCACACGAAACGGAAAACACGTTTTTGATGGATCAGATGGAAACTAAAAACCGTTTCTGATCAATCAGATGAAATATAAACTCAATTTCTGGAAAATCAGATTTACATAAAAAACGTCATCTGAAAACTCAGAAAAACACACAAAAATGTCTGATAGCGGGGACCTTGGGGTGAACCAGCCCAAGAGGCAACTGTGCAGTGTTGAACTCAGGTGATTGCCATACTAGTTTGGTCAGGGCGCAGCTATCAAGCTTGCAGGCAACAAACAAAAAACACACCATAATGAATAACATGTTTGTATTGAAAAAATTGCATATATTAGATTTTCTGGACAAGTCCTTGTTAGATCTGAACACAGTGAGACCAACTTGAATGTGGCCCTATAACAGATTGTAGATAGCTTTCCATTTTTTTCCTTTTAACAAACTTTATGTTAAATTCTATTGAATATTTAGTCTCTAGGAACCCCAGCCTTTTTTACAAATGATTGGTTCATAGCAAAAACATTTTGTGGATGGAATGTTGATGCGGCTAGTGAAGCTTGCCTTCCGTGATGAACTGTTTGCTTAGGGCGTGTTACTCAGGGTCTGTGTCCCCCTGGTCCGCTAAGTCAGGGCTGGCCCGACGGACCAGGCTCAGACCATGACCCACACAAATTTTGCGGACTGGTCTGACGGACCAAATCAATCCCTGAAATTGGTCCGCGAGCTGGCTCACAGCTGGTCCGTCCTGGTCTGCGGGCTGGGCCGCTTGGTCCGCAGTGAACCATGGGGTCCGCGGACCCTGAGTAGCATGCCCCTCCCAAGGGTCGTCACAATTAAGAAGTCAACGATACTGGGTTACGCTTGTCGGTTAGGTTCGCGAGCGTGAGGAATTTCGCATATCGATTCGCCACACCCCCATGCTCTCGCGACGAGTCACGACGCAACCGAATTTGGGGCACCTAGTCCCCTCCCGAAATATCGCTGCGAACGAAGGCTGACGCCTAGCTCACCATCCCTGCCCAGGCCAAGCGAGTGATTGGGGGGAACCCGAGTTGAGGTAGACATTTACGGGAGTGAGGGCTTGTTCTGGGACAGGCAATCCTACAATTTCAAACACATCCAAACCAAGCAGCAGGCTAACCCTAAATGGCGCCGAGTGTTCAGTTCAGATCCGTCTTTAGTATCTGTGCCCACGACGTTTACGCGATGCTGTGAAATGTTGTGCTTGATAGACTTAATCGCCTTTAGTGATGGACGTACCCATCCGTGAAACTCACTGGGTGTCGTCGCTATGGCTCGTCGCAAGAAGGGCGTTCGCGGTGACTTTTCTTGCGACCATGTCGTTCGCGATTCTGCTAGTGTGGGTGTACAATTTCTCGTCCGGCGCGAGTCCTGGTGTGACGGCCTTTCGCGATTCCTTAGATTCGTGCGTGGGCGTCGGCCTCGCGTATAACGGAATGCACAGCATGTCGTTTTACAGCGGTATCGCGTGTTCTGATTTGGTAAATGCAGCCGCCATACGCGGTAAAGCTGGCTTCGATAAGGGGATCGAGATCCATTACCGTCAGGCCTTGGCGACTGGAGGTGACAGCAGCAACACGAGCGGCAGCAGCATCGAAGTGGGTTCTAGCTCAGGAACAAGTAACTTAGGTTCTACTATGGGATATTCGGAAACGGAGAACCCGGAAAGAGACGGTTGCGAAGTCCTTTATAACTCCAGCGTTGACCCTCGTGATATAAAGCCCACTTCGTCCTTCAATCACTCCGGCTGCCAGATCGAATGGATCACTTTCTCCACCAGGTGTGGAAAAGGCGTTCAACGCTTAGCTAAGTTCTGCGATTTGGTGGGAGTTCCGTTTGCAGTACTCGGTCTGAACGAAACTTGGAAGGGACTAGGCGGCCGTGTGAGGTACTATCGGGAGTATTTAAGGACTCTGCCGCGTGACCGAATTGTGATTGTAACGGATGCGGACGACGTCTTGTTCCTGCCGAATCGCGAGCTGTGCGGACCGGATCAACTCGTTAAAGCGTTCCTTTCGCTTAACGCGCCTGTCGTTTTCGGAGCCGAAATTTTCGCCTATCCGACAATTGATGTAATCCCGTTTTACTCACAACAGCTGAAGTACCCGTTTCCGAATCGGCACCTTAACGCAGGGTCTTGTATCGGGTATGCGTGGGCTTTATCTGAGATGATAGATGCGACGTACACGAGTGACTGTATGGAGGATCAGCGACAGTTCGTTACTGCTTACTTGGCCCAACCGTACCTCTTCAACTCCCTCCCACGGACGCCTTACCCTGAAACAAATTTCACGTCGATACAGTCACTAATTGTGCATCAAACAGCACTAACTGCTACGGATGAAGCAGCCACTTCGTCCCACACGCCTACTCCCGGCACTCTGAAATACTTTTGTGCTCTACCCGGCCCGTTACAAGACCTGATTCCAGAGGATGTGACTCCGGAGAAGCTAGAGGCGGCGAGGCAGGCAGCGCTGGCGCCGTTTATCAAGCTGGACCATTACAACGCTCTGATGGAGCTGCTGGGAGGGCGGAGATTCGAGCAGTTTGAGGTGCAGGGGACAGGAACAGAGATCAAGGTGCACTCCAGGGTTACTGAAGCGTATCCGTGCATTTTTCATCAATCTGGGGATAAGCTGAAGAGGGGGGTCGTGAATGAGATTGTGGAGAATGGGACCCTGGATGCTGTTGCGTTTGGAGGGATGGTTTAGCAGCTATACTAGCCATTGCTGTTTTGTAGCTTGTGTAGGCAATTGTCATGGAATGGGGGGTGCTGGCCTGGAGTGATTGCATGTGAATATCTGCAGGTGATACTTTGGCACGGGGTAGTGTGGGCTAGTTTGTCAACACTAGGTTAGGAGGTTTAGGAAGTATCGAGAGCCAAAGAGGGGAAAGATTTGTGGTATTCTTTCGCCTGTGAGGAGGCTGGGCTTGCATGACAGATGCAACCACTGATACCGTAACCATGACATCATGCCTCTAGTGTACAATGAAATATCAGGTCTAATTGCTTCAGAAAAAATGGCCAATGTGCATACCACACGTGCTACATTTCATTTATTGAAGCCGCTGATTTACAGTATGAGTAAACAGTGTCATGTCAAGCCTCTGAGATGTAAGCTCAGTCACGTACCCGTACTATTTCACCTAGGGAACTTCCACGTCACCTTGAAGTCACGAAGACCTTCAGCCCATTGGTCATGGAGAGAGTGAGTGACATGCTGTATTCAACCTTGTGCCCGGGCACAAGCGCGATTCGGAAAAGGCGAACCGTGCTGGCAACAATTGACTTCATCTGCAAGCACCCACACCACACGGCACCCAACATTTCGGTTCAGATCATTGTATGCACGGGCTAACGAACCAGACAGTGCTCGAGGTAGCGCAAGTAGCAACAGCAGGAAGAGGCAAAGTACCTGAAGATAGGCCAGGTCTCTCCCAAGGCAGAGGCGAGGCCCAGCGTTGAAAGCTGGAAATTTGAAAGGAGATTCATTGATCAGTTCACCATTGCTATCAAACCACCGCTCTGGCTTGAAATCTCTCGCGTCGGGTCCCCAAATGCGAGTCATGCGACCCATTGCATAGATCTCGTATTGCACTCGCCAACCACTCTTGACGTGCGTCCCATCGGGAAGCACATCATCCTTCACAACATGCCTGCACATCATTGAAAAACAGGAAAGCTTGTGAGAAACACCTTTCAAGGTGACTTTTGAGTCGACCCAAAAGTCGGGAAGCACATCATCCTTCACAACATGCCTGCATTTGAAAAAAAAAAAAAAGCAAGCTGTGGAGTAAGGAATTCCAGCAGAAACGTCTGCTACAGCAACATCAGTGCAGAAGGGTTGAACTCACTTGAAGTCCGCTGGGACAGATGGATAGAGCCGAAGTGACTCAGCGATTGCTGCATGCACATACTTCATCTGCTTCAGCTCTTCAAAGGTAAATGCACCAAAGCTCTTGTCACCTGCAAAAGCAGCAGTCAACAAGTCACACCTCAGCCTTGTGGGATTACAAGCAAGTGCAATCAGCAATCGTTCACCTCAAACACATTGCTGAAAATGACCCACCTTCACGAGCAGCAACAATTGACTGCACCTCTGCCAGTATCTTTTCTTCCACACTAGGGTGCCACGTCAGCAGCCAGAAGAGCCAGGTCATGAGGACAGACGAAGTATCCCTCCCAGCAAGAATGAAATTCGTGCAAACATCCCGGAGAAACCTTTCGGAATACAGCTGACCGCCATCGTCCTTCTCAAGAAGCATCATCCTACAGACAAAACAAACGGAAACTAAGCGTTGGTATGCGTGATGGAGAACATTCGGATTTTGTCAAAAAAAGAATCATTCACCTGGAAAGAATATCGGAATGGTCAGTTACAGTTCCATCGGATGCATGCTGTTTCTTTTCGCTAGCCAGCTCAACGCGCCGCTTTCTGATCACATCCTCTGCGAAAGAATCGATTTCCTGCCGAAAAATAGCAGATAAAAGATCAGAGAAAAGGTGGTTGAATGAAAGCACTGGGATTTGCCAACATGAAGAGGGGGTGGGGAGGGGGGTTTGTGGATGGCCATACCTTAACAGCAGCGCGAAGCGTGCCTTCTTGGAACAAACGGAGAGACCTGAACGCCTTCCAAACAAACTCAGGAATCAAGTTCCTGAAAAGTGTTGCCTGAAGAGAAGACACCAAGCAATTAGACCAATGAAAGCAAACTTGAGAATCAAAGCACTGGACATACATAATAAGAACAAGGAACCTTTACCTTTGTAGCCTCGTCAAATGCTCGCGCAAATGGGACTTCAGGAAGGCCTGGCTCAAGACAGCCAGGGTCAACACCAAACCCAATTCTGCAAATGTTATCGAAGGTGTACCGCAGCAGAATGTCCTGGAGGTCCACTGGCGTTGTCGTCATAGAGGCCTGCTTGTCACCAAAGCCAAAACACATGAACCACAGAAACCGTTATAGTCATTATAGAAGCAAGAAAATTTGTCCAGTCATTTCCTACTAATACCAGAAGATTTCGGCATGTTGCCTGACGCACCTCTTCCAGGGTGGGAATGAACCGCTGGAGGAGCTCTTCCTGGATGGACACCATCATGAGGTCCCGCAGTGACCGCTGGGAGAACTCGAGGCTGGCTGTCTTGCGCTGCTGCCTCCACACGTCATCGTCGCTGTTGAATATGCCGTGGCCAAGCAGGTCTTCGAAGTTGGACTGATGGATTATGTTTATTTTTAAGTTAGCAATGCCTTACAAACTCTGTCACGAAATTGCTGAGAACTTCTTGAAAACTGTTCTGCATACCTGGAAGTTCGGACCCTTGGGATAGTTGGCGAAGTTGGTCTTGAGAATGTGCTCAAGGTTCTTAGGGTTGGCAGTGACGACTTCGTTGAGCCCAGGCGCTAGCGAGATGTAGGTCATCGTGGGACTAGCCTGATCAGGTTCAACATTCTCCCGGGTTATGTTGATGTTTTGCTAGTGAAGAGCAATGTCACAAAATCTGTTATGGATCAAGCTAGAATTGAGGATTTACCTCGAGATATGCTGTCGCCCAGTCGTATAGATACGGAAACGCCAGTAACATTTCAGGCAAGGTGCCGAGAATTGGCCACGCGGGAGGACCATAGCCTATCTTCTGCCTGTACACTCCGAGCAGCCAGAAAATGGCGACGACGAGAGAAAGGATCGCGAGACTCGGAGCTAGGAGCACGAAGACGCTCAATGCATTCACCCTCTCCTGATGGCTGAGGAGTGCAAGAAGAGCCATCGTGCTGCTGCGACGAGCTGTGGCGAGTAGTCCAAGTGCACTTTTTCAGAAATGCAAAAGATCGTTTTCCGTTTTTGTATCTAACGTCGGTACAGTGGGAAAAAAGGAGTCGGTGGCGACGAATGAAGCTGAACCGTACAGATCCGCGCTGACTCGGCGACGTCGCGACGACAGCGCATTCTGACCGTGCGACAGATGGCATTCGCCGACACATAACCGTTCCTGTCCGTCTTGGGACACAGCTTATGGTCTCTTAGCATCTTGAGAATCACAATAAGCTCGCTCGAGGCATGAATGAGCTTAGCACAAGAAACATAGGCTGTGGAACTACGCTCCCTGTGCCAGCAGTCGCCTTGATGTTGACGCGTGGTGACTGGAATTCTGACGTTTAAGACGAGGTCCCAACCTAATGAAGTGCTTGCTGGAAATACAGCACCATAGTTCCTAGAGGCGTTGTTCCACGAGTTCACTTTCTAGCGGTGAAATGCGATGTTGTGCATGGCAGAGCGGCTTATTTGCACTTTCTTACGTTTAGGTAGTGTTACGAGGAGAGATCAAAGCGTACGAACTTGGAGGTTTCGTTTCCCCATCGAATTCAACAATTTGCAGACATGGAGCGGAACACCCGTGTGCGAACGAGGATTGCATGGTAACCGTTCTTCATAGCGAAATCACAAGTGAGGCTCCACTAGTATAAGCGGGATCACAAATTTCTTAATATTTTTGGACGAATTTTGAATCACCCGGAGCATGGGTTATACTTGATAAATACGACCCTGGTGCTTTGTTGCAGATTGGTGTTTCCTAGACGCCACAACTCAAATTCATTAGGATTCATCAGTGATTTCGGACAGCTCTTCATCGAAAAATCTCCAATAACAATCAGCTACCGTAAGCATGATATTCCTCGCTTACTCGATATCAACGAGGCTTTCGTGCTTGCGAACAGTTTGCGTCCCTCCCTTAAATATCAGTTTTCGTACAAGATCAGCGAAACCTGCTGTGGTTACCCGTGCAACATCGCAGGCGAGCGACAGAACAAGGCAGCAGATTCATCCAGATCACGAAAAACGAAAGCCGCTTTCATGTCTGCCGGGGGAGAATTGGAAGCAGCAGCATCAACACCAGAAGAAAAGCTCGCTCACAAACAATCGCGGAAATCAGCACTGGCAGCAGCAGCTGTTTTTGCAGCCGCTGCTGCCGTTCCCTGCTGCACCATCCTCCAGGCTAGATACAGTTCAAGTACGGGCAGCTTCACGGCTCGTTGTCGCTGCCACGGGGGAATTCGGGCAGCCCAGAAAAAAGAAACGAGAGAAGGTGGTGTTCGTGTGCGATCAGTGCGGAGACGAGCGCAAGCAGTGGTGGGGGCAATGCTTCGCCTGTGGCGCGCTGCGCAGCATGAAAAGATTCACTGTGACCGACGATGAGCCCGGGCCGGGGGGTGGAGGCGGGGGGGCAGCAATCCGCGCATTTGAACGGTCTAAAAGGAACAGGGGTAGCCCGGGGAACAGGGAGGATCCGAAGAGGCGAAGAGCAGACGAAGCGAGCACTGATGGTAGCAGTGGAGTGAGAAGAGCATATCCACGAACAGATGCTGTTAGCAGCACCGGCGGTCACATCAATGGTGGTAGCAGCACTGGATCAATGCGGCCAGGTGCAGTGCATCAGGAGGTGGACGAGGAGGAGGAAAGTGAGGAGGAGGATGACGGCGAGGAAGGGGAGGAGGAGGGGGGAGAGGGGGAGCGTGACAGTGAACAGTACAACAGGGCGGGAAAGTCAAAGGGGAGTGGTTTTGGTGGTTGGGTGAAAAGCAACGGGAGAAGCAGCAGTGGTTATAGCAGCAGCAGCAACGGTTACGGCAACAGCAGCAGCAGCAGTCTGCTTCTGAGCAGCAGCAGACCACGGGCGCGGCCGCTCCAAGAGGTCATCCAATCAGCTGGCGA